TTACTCTGAACGTAAGAACCCCATTGCGCAAGCACTGTTTGGGGAAAGAGATCTTCAAGCACTCAAACAAACAAGGAGAGAAGAAAGCCTGCACAAGCCTGCACGCAACTCGACCCTCTTTCTTTTTTCGCAGGAAGCGAGCATACTATCAGGTTGGAACAAAACACGGCGCAGCCACGTGCTACAGTCTCGTTAGCAAGACCGCACCTGCCGTCCGGCCTGTGCCAGCTAACTTTTAAGCAGAAAAAGGGCGCACCGCAAACTTTTATTCCCCCTGGGCGTGGAGGGCGGGGAAAATCAACACAAAACTACACGTTCTGTCCAAGTGCTGTACCGTGCCACTTCGGACACCCGGCTCGAGCACACACACAGCTGCTAAAGTGTTGCAATTCACAACAACGCGTTGCGTGGTCGCAACACGCAGTCACTCTATTGACAAGGCAACCCAACCAACTAACAACAAACGCGCGTTAGCACACGCACACAGACGCCAGTCCTGCTGCCCGCAGGGACCTATCTCACCGTGCTAGATGATCCCACTTTGCTGCACGCGCGCGTGCACCCCGCGAGATCTTCAAGCACTCAAACAAACAAGGAGAGAAGAAAGCCTGCACAAGCCTGCACGCAACTCGACCCTCTTTCTTTTTTCGCAGGAAGCGAGCATACTATCAGGTTGGAACAAAACACGGCGCAGCCACGTGCTACAGTCTCGTTAGCAAGACCGCACCTGCCGTCCGGCCTGTGCCAGCTAACTTTTAAGCAGAAAAAGGGCGCACCGCAAACTTTTATTCCCCCCACCTGAAAGGCGAGTGCGTCCGGCCTTCTACTACTGCCAAGGGTCCTTCTGTCGCAAGGATTCCGCAGCTGGTAGTTTGCCCTCGCGCTTCCATCGCTTGGCAGCCCGGCATTCACGGATGTCCTCATACAGGTCGAGGCCTTCACCCAGCATCTCACGCAGAACAAAACCCTCGAAGTCCTGCAGGTCGAAGCGCCTCCGCCGGATCTCAGAAAACCCCGCAAAGTCTCCATTGGTGAGTGCGTCCGCTTCTCGGTTTTGGAGACGCGGCAGCCAATCAAGATGCAGCTCCGTGCCCAGGCGTTGCAGCTGTGTTGCAAGTTCCATGAGAAAGGCGCATAATGGAAAGCTAGTGGTCAACAACCGCGCTACAACGTGTGTGTTGCCCAGGTTGTCTGTGCCGGCGGAGCAGCGAATGCGTCCGACTTCGCCCTTTGGCACCCCGAAGAGCACCACAGCAGCTAGCGTCGCGAGCAACTCTAGCGATGCAATTTGGCGGTAGGACTCACCGCTTGCAAAGAGCCAAGGGGCATTCTCATGCGTCAGCTTTTCTGAGAACCAACGACACTGTGCGGTGTCACGATGGTCCAAGGCCCAACCGCCGATCCACACCTCGTTGCCCTCAGCACGCGCATCTGTTCTGAAAAGTTCCCTTTCTCCCACGCACGGCAAGCCTACGGGAGCTAACCGCCCCTGGCCCGCAAGAGAAGATGCTAAGAACTTCATAATAAGCACAATCGCCTTCGGCAATGGATACACCCGCTGGTTGTCAAGCACAGCTACCCAGGCATAAAGGGGGCCCAAAAATGGGCGTAAATGCCCCAGCGCTGTCAACGCAAAAGACAGCCGCCCAAGAACTGCCCGCATATCGGCCACCCTCACATGTCCACTGCGCACTGTTGTGTCCAGCCAGTTGATGAGCCACGCAGCACGACGCTCAGAGATTCCCAGAGATCTCTGCTTCAAAGATACCACCAGCCCTACCCACGTGAACTCCACGCCCCCAGAGAACTTACGCCATGAAAAGGGAACGCCAAGCAGGACGTAGAAATACACAGTCAGCACGATGTACTCCAGACCATGAGCTGTGTCCTGTGTAAGCCACAGCAGATCATCGCTGTACACCAATTGCGCCAACTCCAGGGTACGTGCCAGGTAGCACGCAGCTCTGCCCAGACCACCGAGCAGGCGACTCCAGTGGTAGGAAGCGCTGGACACCCCGAAAGTGCCCACCTTGTTCAGCCACACGCGATCACTCCCACCGACGCCAGTCCGGCAGGCTTGCAACCCCCAGTCTTGGCGCGCGACTTTCACCAAACGGTGTGCCCTTTTCACATCACCCGTTAATCCGAAGAACGCACGCGGCATGATTCTCAAGGCTGTCCTGAGGTCGCCTGCAGTGGGCGATCGCAACTGGTCTCGCACCTTGATAGACGAGTTCACCCCGACTCCGTGGGTGCCATCGTGAACCACTCTGTAGGTGCCATCGCGTTTCTCGATGGCTCCCAGTGAAGCCAAGGCCAGCCTGTCCCCATATTCCGCCAGGGCCTCCTCCAGCGAAACTTCTACCATCGCGCCTAGAGCTGCCTCCTCGAGAAATTGTTTCTGGACCTCTGCCGCATTTTCACGAGCAGACAGATAGTTCTCGCGCTCGGACTGCGCGTGCTCCGCATCATCATCATATTTGCGCCAGTGGGTCTTTTCTTCAAACACAGCTGGCACACGAGGAAGCTCTGCCCCGACCCCGATGCGGACGCCCTTTGCGAAGGAGTTTTCGGCCGTGTAATAGGCCGCGTAGTCCGGATCACCAGAAACGCGCAGAAGCTCTTCAATGGCAGCCAGATAGAATGGCTGCCCTTCTGACACTTCTCGCACAGGCAGCGTTGACCCTGCAGACTCAAGACTCCTGAAAACAAGCTCCCGCCCCGCCGCGACGACTTCAGCAGAAAATGGGCACACGTCTACCTTGCCCGCAGCCAATTTGATGGCAAGCGTGCGCACCTCCAGAGTACTATGCAGCAGCTTCAGAAGGTCTGCGCCTAACTTTTCCGCGAAAGCTAGTGACGGTGTGTCCGCAGAGCTCCTCCTCGACGCCGGCGGCCATCTGCCGGGAGAACAGAGCCCAAAGCCATCAGTGAAGGGTCGGCGTTTGCCAAGAAGGTTTGACCACATTGCTGCTCCATGTCCACGCAGTCCGGGGTCTAAGATAGCTGCATCTTTGGCGAAGTAAGGCGCATGCGCCCCACCGTCCACCTCACGAGCTTCTAGTTCCGCGCTGGCCGGAGCCGGAAGATGGATCCCCACCGAAGGCGAGGTCCGGCCGGCTTCAGACCCTAGTCACTCCGCAGTCAGAGCAGGCGCCGCAGGCGCCATCGCAGCATCACGCTTCACAAGGGGGCATACGCTGTAGGAGTGGGGCTGCAGACACCGCTGGCAGAAATGCGAGAACTTGCAATCTTTGTGGGGGCAACCGGCCTTCTTTTGGAAACGGAAGCAGAGGAGCTTCCCATCCGGGCCCCACTTGTGCTTCGCGATGGTCTTCAAAACTTTTCCCTTGCCATCGCCCTTCTTGCCGAGACCTTTTCCCGCACCCTTCCAGCCGGCCCCCACATCCACCTGCCCAGTGCCACCTAGGCTGTCAGTGCAACCACCAAGAGAGAACGGGGTCACGAAGTGGAAGGCGAAGAGGTCCGGAGCTGCGCAAGCTGCCTTCAAAGCAGCACCAAGATCGCCCACTGCGCCGTCGCGAACAGACTGATACGCTCGCTTGCGCAGCTCTGATTCATACTTGAGAATCAAACTCCACTTAGGAACACGACCATCCTCGGCCTTTAAGCCTGCAACCTTATCTCCAAGCACGAAATCAGACAGTCTGCGAAAGGCGTCCACGATGCTTTCAGGCAACCAAGAGCGCGTCGTGTGCTTGGATCGGATCATGTGCCAAGCCAGCCCGAGACGGCGATGACGAAGCCGCAGCTCTTCTGGGGTGGCTGGCGGCACTGTCATGGTGCGCCCCGGCTTGATCCGCAGACATGAAGAAGCTGGGTCAATTACGGCGGCATAGGCTTCAGTCTCAGCATCTTCTAAGCTAGTTGCATCTCGAAGATCTTCAACGACTGGAGCGTTCTCCTCAACCTGCTCGAGCTTCTGAGCCAACAAAGACTTGCTGGGCAACTCTTTGTCGGACAAAGTGCCGTGGTAGTCTTCCACAGCGCGGCGCATGGCTGCGTACTCTGATGTTTGCACCACTCGGTCCTGCACCCCAAGTTTGGACTCCGCGCGGTTCTTCTCCGTCACGCTCAACTGCCGCCGGCATGCGTCCCAGACTGAGAGGAGCAAGGCCATGTGCACACGCGAGTCTGCATTCTCCGTGTAAGGCAACGGCAGTTCTTTGGCCAAAGCTTGACGGACCTCTGGACGAGTATCATCCACACCCGCAAAGACATGCACCGAAGTAAAACCCTTGCGATACACCAAAAGCTGAACGGAAGTTGGCACACCCACGTCGTCCATGAGGAACTTCAAGTCCGAGTCGGCTTTTGCCAGCATCGCTGCATCTGCGGTAGCGTCTGCCATGAATGACCACGAACAGATTGTACCTTCAGGGGTAACGCATAAGCAGGGAAATACAAACAAGGAAAATTGCCCGCGCAACCCGGCCGGCATATCAGGAAACCGGGCCCATCCGGGCCCCAAGCAAACAGCCAACCAGAACCCGGTCGACTCAGTCAGAGTACTTACTGCAGCAGAATAGCCGCACCCGAAACACCACGCCTGCAAACACAGCCTGCGTGCACAAGAGAAGGAAGCTGCTAGCTACACGCCGGCAAACTGCAAATGATTGAGCCGAAGGAAAAAGACCATACGGCGCAAACGTCACAGAGCCTGGTGACACCAGTCACGCCTGGCTGTAGCGAGTCACCGCACACATTTACGCAGCCGAGCGCAAGTCGCTGCGAAAAGCACGCTCAGGCCTCACTACTACTGCTGCCGCAAGAACTGCTGTCACTACCATGGCTGTCACTGGAAGCAGCTCCATCTCCAGCATCCTCACCCGGATTCTCCCCGTTCCGCCAGCAGTGCTTACACGCGGAGTCGTACACAGCATCCTGAAGCTCAAACACCGGTAGCATTTCCCGCAGATCTCTGGTGGCTGTTCCGCATCCTCCTTTTCGATGCAGCCGTCGTAAGCGGCCTTTGCCAACGATGGCAATGTAGAAAGGCGGTAGCTCCTCCGCTCGGGCCTGCAGAACTGCCGGCATAGGCGCCCTGGCATCCACGGCCACCATCTCAGGCGCTTCTGCAGCAGACGCACTGTTGGGCCGCACATGCTGGGGTCCCAGGCAAACACGTAAGCATGACCGCAGTTGAAGAGCCTGTGACTGTATCTGGACAAGCCTTTCGCCGCAACCACGCTCTTGCAAGAAAGAAGGCAGATCTTCCAGACCCCCATTCAGTAAGTCCCAGCGTTCGTCCAGACAGACACCGCGCAAAGCCTCTTCTTGCAAGGACAGCACCACATGACGCGCAGTTCGAACATACTCATCTGACGCAGTCACTATGTGCCAGCGACCTACATAGTCACGCTTATCGCGCGGCACACCTAGGCTGGCTAATACGGAGACCAGCCAGTTGCGCTCTGTATGCTCAGTCCAAAAACACAGAGCGGCCTCTGCTTCAATCAAAGGGGACGCAGAAAGCTGCCAGGTGTGACCGCCCCAAGCTGGTTTACGCAACAACTTCAAGAATTGCTTCGACAGAGCCAAAGTCCTTGCGTAAGTAGCCATTGAGTGAATAGCCGCTGAACCGTCAGTGTTCGGTAACGGCAGAAAGTAATCCCTCTCAAACTGAAATTCGGTGGAACACCAAATGGACCAACCTTGTTGCAGCCAGTCCGGATTCATGAAGAAGACCTTGCAGCTGACAAAAATTGGAAGAAACCGGATACGCTTGCCAGGTCCGCTAGTTTTTGTGCGATCAAGAACTCCAGATAACCCATGCGTCGACATCTTCAAAGAGGATGGGTCCAACCCTTCCAGGTCGCTAGCCCGACTTGCTGACCATAGACGCAGGAGCTTATAAAAAGCAAAAGCGCGCATGTACAGGGGCAACGATGCATCGGCTATTGCAAGCTCAGTCGCGCCGATGATAGACACTGGCATCATAGGAGCCTTGCGGGTGGGTGGTGCGTGGGCCTGTAACTCCGTCGTAATAACATTGACCGTGTTGCGCAAGATGGCTAGCTCTGACAGCTTGTCGGCCGGGGCAACTCCCCCAGCCTTCTCCATGAATGCAAAGCAGCCCAAAATTGCATTCGGCACGCTGTGTCCACAGGGCTCCAGGCGGCGTTCATGCAAATAATCTAGAATCTGGCTACAACAGATGAGGTCTGGCCACGGGACGTCGGCATACTTCTAGAATCTAGAAGTACGCCGACGTCCCGTGGCCAGACCTCATCTGTTGTAGCCAGACAAAACGAGCGGAATTTCTTCCACTCACGGACTCGCTTCCGGATGGTTGACGCACGTGCAGAACCCAAGCCCAAGGACAGAGCAAGCTCGGGATCGCGAGCCGAACTGGAATGACCCACCACAGGCAGCTTTGCTTCGGAAACCAGGGACGCCAGCTCCTGTCTCCATCGCTCCAGCTCCTGACGCTCGATCTCCACTCTGGACAACTCGCTCTCAGCCTTCGCCAGAAGCTTGGCACGGCGCGTGCGCCGCACCCGGCCACGCTTGATGGCCCCGGATTTGGAGCGCAACCACGCTGTAGTGAAAGATGTAGGCTTCGGCGGGACTCCAGCCAATTGCAGCTTTTGCCTCTTCGTGGCAGCGCGAGACAACAAGAACTTTGTCGCAGCAGGAATTAGTGCTCTACGCTTCTGGATCCTTTGTAACTGGTCAGCGGCTCTCAACTGCAGAGTCCAAAGCACACGACGCAAGTGGACCTTGCTAGCCGGCTCCACACCCGTACAAGTCGCCTCGATAAAAGAATCCACATCACACAAATCTTCGAAGAAATTTCCCAGCACGTCGGGTCCAGGAAGTTGGGCATTCGGCGACACAGATGCTCTCAACACTTCAGGTAGATCACGCCACAGGTCTTCACAACTGTAAGACCCTAAATCTCGCACATCCTCTTCTGAAGACTCGCCCTCGGTGTCAGAAGCCATGGGCGACAGCGAAAGAAAATCAACACAAAACTACACGTTCTGTCCAAGTGCTGTACCGTGCCACTTCGGACACCCGGCTCGAGCACACATACAGCTGCTAAAGTGTTGCAATTCACAACAACGCGTTGCGTGGTCGCAACACGCAGTCACTCTATTGACAAGGCAACCCAACCAACTAACAACAAACGCGCGTTAGCACACGCACACAGACGCCAGTCCTGCTGCCCGCAGGGACCTATCTCACCGTGCTAGATGATCCCACTTTGCTGCACGCGCGCGTGCACCCCGCAAGAAAGAAAAGACCTGGAACGCGGAACTGTGGACTCCCTGCTGCCCCTGCAGTTCAAGAATGTATCTGCAGCTGAAAGAGCAATTTTGTTCGACATCCACGAACCCTTAGCCTAGAATCAGGGCCTCCAGACACACACCCTCCGAGGAGGGTCCATCTGCGTGCACCTGTAACTGACTGATAACATCTGATCACCCAGGATGCACGCATGAACAACTGCTTGCACAGTCACGAAAGAAACTG